CTTGTGCAGAAGCTTGTGAGGTGTTTTGAGTAAATAAAAAAGACAGCTTTTTCTTGAGCTGTGGTGAGAATGCACCAAGTGTCTGTGTCTTTCTTTATCGCTGACTCCATGCACCCTTCCCGAGCTCCGAACTCGACTGGAGCTGGACTTGGGCAGGCCCATGACAGGGAGGCGCTCTCTGAGCCTTGTGCTTTCAGCACTCTAACACTCTGACTCTTGGCCTTCCCCTGCCTGCTCTCTGGCTTCCCACAGACTCTGAGGACAGGTACACAGGTAGCTCCTGAGCATGGCCCTGTGTGTCTGTATTCCTCACCCTCTGTTCACTGCTTGGGCAAGCCAATGAAGATGCAAATGCTAAAATGCTTTGTATTTCTAATTTATGTACTTTCAAGAGTTCCAGGAGAGGAGAGGCATAGCAGTGATGGAATGTGGACAAAGAAGCCAGGAAGAGGTGAATGTTTATAGCTTTGTAAGTGTGTCCAGGTTGTTTGCCTCACGTTTCTTAGGATAACTTACATTGCTGGGGAAGCTGGAACATATGTCTTTAGTGTAAGTAATGGATTTCATGGTAATAACCATATTCCTCTCACGGTTTCGATTTACACTGGATTGCCGCATCACTTACCATTTACTATTTTCTAGTGGGCTCTGACGTCACAAAGCTTGGTTAATAAAGACTCCTTAGTACATCTAGACTTGTCTGGCATGATCTCTCTTGCACCCTGCAATAATTTTCTGCTGGCAACACCACCTATGACATCATTGAGGGTGCCCTTCACTGGCCTTGCTTCATGGGAACAGGCACCTCAGACCTGACATACTGTGCCACCTGCTGGCAATGATCTGTTACTGCAAGGATTTTGCAGGGGTTCGGGCAGAAGTGGGTTGGTACTTTCATTTTCTAAAGACTTGTACTTTTTACATGGCCTAGTTTATTTTTATTTCAATATTCATTAAAAAAATCAAAAATGTTCTTGAATTATTTATCTTAGTTTATAACAGAAGTGTTTTAGAGAAAACTTCATATGGGAACAAAAGTCTGAGTCACAGATTCTTTTTTTTTTTAAATTGTATTGGAAAGGTAGGTGTAACAGAGACAGAGAAAGACCTCCCATCCACTGGTTCACTCCAAAGTGGAGCTGAGCTGATTCGACATCAGAAGCCAGGAACTTGTTCTGGATTTCCCATGCTGGTGCAGGGTCCCAAGGACTTGAGCCATCCTGTACTGTTTTCTCAGGTCACAAACTGGGAGCTTAAAAGGAAGTGGAGCAGCCGGGACACAAACTGGTGCCCATATGGGATCCCAGTGCATGCAAGGCAAGGATTTAGCCTCTTGGCTGCTGAGCTGGGCCCTGATTCAAAGATACTTTTAGAATAACTTTAATGAAAAATTATGACTCACTTTCTCTGGTCCTTACTTAGTTCCAACTTTGGATCCCCACCCTCTCTTGCAATAACCATCAGGGTTGCTCCGGAGCCCTCCCCCCCCCACCAACACACACACACACACACACACACACACACACACACACACACACATTAGAATAGATAGACAGAGAACAACAAGGAAAGCTTAGAACCAGACAGGAAATGGTCAGCGTGGACTCACACATACCTTACTAGGTAGGACACAAAGATTAGTTACTCCTCACTAAGGTATTGAAGATTTCTCTGCACACCCCTCCTAAAACTGTTCTGCACCTCAATTGTTGACATATGCCTCGTTAGAGTTATAACCCAGTTTAGACTATCCTAGAATCTGCCAAGTTCAGCAAAATTATGCTTCAACACTATAAACTGCTAAATACTAAAATGAAAATAGACACGAAACAACAGAATAGTAACCTATAGCCATTTTAAGGTGAATAGAAGCCGGTAGTATATAAACTAAAACTGAAATGTCAATGAAGTAGTCACAGGATGTGGTGAAAAACTTGCACGTTTTTAACATATTGGTTACTCAATACCATGTCAATTAATTCCATAATGTTGTAAATTGTCGTTGATGTTATGTTGTGGCTTTAAATTGATCAGGATGATATTCTGCCAGCTCTGCCTTCAGACCAGAGAAGGTCTCCCCAAGAAACTGTTGAATTTACCTGTACAATAAGATGCTGGACTCTGCTTGGTATACTCTTGCAATGAGAGAATCTTGACTGAATTTGAAATGTAATACAGCAACAAGGTGGAGGAATCCACCATGGGGGGAGGGTATGGGGAGGGGTTGGGGGAATCCCAGAGCCTATGAAACTGTGTCACATAATGCAATGTAATTAATAAAAAAAATTATATATATATAAAGGAAAATCATGACTCAAACATAAAACAGTTCTGAACATACAAAACTCCTTTTTATCTGGGAAATATGATCCAAAATCCTCAGTGGTAGCCTGAAGCCATGGCTGGGACTGAATTTCAGACACAATATATATGCTATAGTTTAATTTACAAATTAGACTCAATGAGATATTAACAATAATAAAATACAAATTAAAATGCAAAATAATAAAATATAAACATTTTAATAATATACTACATATATATATCTTTCTCAAAACATCTTATTGTACTTTTACCTTTTGTCTTAAAGGATGCACTTGTTATCTTTCCTTTGCCCTAATTGCCAATATCACCACACTTGTACTTTGGATAAAATGTGAAGATTAACATCAGCACCACAATAGCATTATTTAATGAAGTAAAGGTAAGTTGATTACTTCATTCCACACATCAGCACTGCAATATCATGGCAGTTGATCTGATAGCCAAGAAAAGGGAGAAAGAGGCAGCAGGGAGGAAGGTAATAGAGCATGGGACCCTTAGCAAAACAGTAACTGGGTCCAGGCAGCAGTTGGAGTCCTCACCTTGCATACACTAGGATCCCATATGGACGCTGGCTCTAATCCCGGCAGCCCACTTCCCATCCAGCTCCCTGCTTGTGGCCTGGGGAAGCAGTCCAGGATGGCTCAAAACCTTGAGATCCTGCACTTGCGTGGGAGACCCGGAAGAAGCTCCTGGCTCCTGGCTTCGGATTGGTACAGCTCTGGCTATTGTGGCTGCTTAAGGAGTGAATCATTGGATGGAAGTTTTTCCTCTCAGCCTCTCCTCCTATTAAGTAAATCTTTAAAACAAAAATGAAAGCAAAATAGTAACTGTTCCAGGCAGCACAGAGCTGGATAGCTCAACATTCTATCATACCATTTAGAATGAGAGTGAATTTTACAACTTATAAATTGCTCATTTCTGAACATTTACATTTCATAATTTCAGGCTATAGTTAACCAGGGATAACTCAAGCCACAAAAAGCAAAACTGGATATGAGAGACTACCATAAATATTTCTCCAAAGAATATTTGACTCATTAGATCAGAACTGTGGGATCCTGCCTCCAATACCGGCATTCCATATGGAATCCCAGCTGCTCACTTTTGACCCAGCTCCCTAACATGCTTGACGAAGTAGCAGATGGTCCAAGCACCAGCAGTTTCTTCCCATTCTTGCACATGTGCAGAGGCCCAGGGACTTGTGCCATTCTTTGCTGCTTTCACAAGGTGCTGGATGGGAAGTGAAGCAACCCAGATTTGAGCTGGGTTTCTGGCACTGCAAGATGGGGCTTAATTCACTACACCATAGCACCAGGCTTCCAAGAGCTATTGTTTTTTAAATTTTGGAATGATTCTTATTTTTACTAGTTATTTAGAAATGATTATTTATTTGCGAGGCTGGGAGAGAGAGAGAGGAAAAGAGAGAGGGACAGAGAATCTTTTACTGGCTTGTTAACTCCCCGCTTAGCGGGACTGGGGCAGGAAGCCAGCAATGCAAGCCAGGTTGACATTCGATTCTGACAACTTTTTGCCCCCTGTCTTACCCAGTATATATCATGTATGTGTACTGAAGTGAAAATTCCAGGAAACAAGATTTATCCTTTGCACATGTGAAATATACTGAAACTGTTCATTTCATTAAAAACACTATTCATTCTTCATTAACTGGATATGATGGCCCACTAACGGATTGTAATTCGCTTTGGAAAATCACCTTTTGAGCTGTGGACTGGGACACCTGTATTCCATGTCAGAAAGGCCAGAGTTCCCTCCAGTCTACTCGGCTTCCCATCAGCTTCCCACTAAAGCTGACCCTGGCAAGCAGCAGGTGATGGCTCCAGAACTCTAGTTCCCCAACTGCACCCAGCTCCTGGCGTCAGTCTACCTCAGTCCTGAATGTCGCTGCATTTACGGAGCGACCCAGCTAATGAACGGCCTCTCCATTGCTTTCCCTCTTGGGATGGGTAAGTCTTTGGGTTACTAGGACTTGTCCCACCCTCCCAGGGACCCAGAAGCTCTTTTGAGTGCCAGTACAGCACTTCCTTAGCAAGCATGGACTGCTGGCCTGCGTCGTAGCGGGGCAATCTTTGAATGCATGGTAGACTCAATCCAAACATGCTTCAGATTGAACTTCCTTATGGCTTGTTACTTTCAAAAACGGGAAGAGGAAAACACCCACTCTTGGATATAGGGGAGGCTTCAGTTCTCCTGTAGGCTTCTGCCAACAGCCCTTAACGCCTGCTCGGCTTGTAAGAGAGAAGAGTATCAAACGAGAAAATGGAGGTGAAAGACACTTTGAAAACTCATGTTTTATTGATACTGTCAACATGACGCTACAAAGCTACACTGCCATTAAGCTATAGCGAGGCAACGTCTCGTTATTTTTTAAATTCTCTTTTCTTTTGGTACCGTTTCTTTCATCTCCCCAGACACCAATGGCTAGGTCTTGGCCAGAGCTTGTCCTATTATCTACAAGTAGAAGTTACGAACTTGGACTGGCTTCCAAGCGCGCCGCTCAGTCTGCGCATGCCCGAGAAGACGCTCCACGCACCTCGCAGGTTGGGCAGAAGCCGGAGGGCGGGCCGTGACGTCATCTCCGGGCGCCGAGGGTGACTCGACTCGAGGTGGGTTTGCTGGGCTCCGCGGCGGCGCTCGCCGGATCCGGGAGAGGCGGAAGTGCAGCCGGGCGGCGCTGCGACCCGGTGTCGGTGCCGTCTGCGGCTGCGCGGGATCTGGGCGAGCGTCCAGTCCCGGCTGCTGTGCCGGAGCGAGCGTCGGACGGGCAGGCTGTTGTGCTGGCCGCTCGAGCTCGGCTGTCCGAGTGCGGACGCCGCGGGGGAAGCCGGAGGAGCAGCCCGGCGCTTCGGTAGGGCCCCTCCGCCGCCCTGTGGGGAAGCGCCTGGAGCCGGAGGGCTGGCAGCGGCGCCGGGGAGGTGTGGTGAGGAGGGAGAGAGCGGCTGGCAGGGGCAGCGCTGTCCGGGCGGCGATGGCGGTGAAGGTGGCGAGACGCCGCCCCGGGAGCCCTGCGGCCGGCCTGTGCAGTCTTTTGCGGAATACGTCCTTTTTCTTGCCAAGATGGGACATCTAGGATGTAATTGCTGGCTCCGGAGTTAGGGATGGCACTTGACGCTTTCTGTGGAACAGTTCATTGAAAACGTCACTGTTTTCCCAGGGCGGTTCGATTCTGTCCGATTTGGGTACTTCCTGCAGTTTATCTTTTCAGCGTCATTGCTCAAGTCCTCGTTTGAATACAAAGCCGTGTGCTGTGGATCAAGCACTTCGGCATACTTGGGTTACACTTTGAGTTATTTTTACGTATACTTGAACTTGAGAAACCTGAGAAACCAGATTGCTTCTAGATTTTTCGGAAGAGGCAGCAGAGCCTGTCTTTAGTTATCAAAGCTCACAGGCTTATCAAACAGCTGCTGAACTCGCAGGCCTGCCAGCTCACTTGGTAAATCTGAAGCCTTGCAGTCTGAAAGCTGGGATCTGACCTAGGAGTAAGTGACATTTCGTGAATTGTCTGCTCCAACGTTGCTAGTCAGCAGAAGCATGTTGGATCGAGGGGAGCAATTGGGAGAAATTTTAAATTGTATGCCAGATTTAAACAGGTGCTTTGATCTTCAGAGTTGCTGCTAGAGGGCAACATGAACGGACTGTGTGAATGTGGGCTTGACGAGTGTGCCCACTTCTGGTTTGGGTTCATTGGGTTAGTTTCACAAATGCTGAATACCCGGCTTCGTGCCAGACACTGGACAAAACAGTCAGTCAAATGAAAGAGCAGAGGAGAAAACGCTACAAACCTCTATGTCACTTTGGGGGTGGGAGAAGATGTTAATGCAGAAACAAACCTGGCCCGTGTTTAAAAGGGAAATAAAAAAGTAAAGCAATGAAGGGGAATGAGAAAGGTTGGCGGTGTGGGTAGGAGGTCGCTGTGGGGGCCATAGAAAAGACGGTCTTTTCTAAAAGGAGAGTGAAGAGGAGGAAGCCTTCTCAGTCAGTGCCCCAGGGCTCTGGCGCTGAAGGATGCCAGTAGTTTGCTGGAAAAGAACTACTGGTGGAGTTGAGCAGTGCTCACTCGCGTGGGAATGCGGCCGTGTAAGTGTTTAAATGCAGAGTTTTCCTTTGAATGATTTTTTTTTGAAGTGTTTCTTTGGAAGAGCTGTGGAGACATCTTCCTTTGCTGGTTCACACCCCAGGTGGCTGGGGCTGGGCCAGGCTGATGCCAGGAGCCAAGGGGTTTTATCCAGGTCTCCCTCTCAGGTGGCAGGAGCCCAAAACGCGGGCCATCTTCTGCTGCCTTCGCAGATAGCAGGGAGCTGGATCAGAAGAGGGAGCAGCCGGAAAACAAAGCAGCCTGCATGTGAGGTGGCAGCATTGCTGGCTGTGACTTTATCCGGTGTGCCACAGTGTTAGCCCTGTGATGAGTATTGAGTAAGGGGCAATAAAGTGGATCTAATTTGAGTCTTAAAAAAAGACTTGGTTTTGGGGTGGGGCTGGAGTTGTGGCAGAGTGAACAAAGCCTTCACCTGCCCCATATGGGTGCTGGTTTTGCTCCACTTCGATTTCTGCTCAACTTGGATCTAGATCTCTGCTTATGTGCTTGGGAAAGAACTGGAAGATAGCCCAAGAATTTGGATCCCTGTTCTCCCGTGGGGAACCCAAATGAAGCTTCTGATTTGGACTGTCCCAGCTGGCCATTGCGTTATTTGGGGAATGAACTTGTAGATGAAAGACCTCTCTCTGAGGCTGCCTGCCAAGTAAATAAAGATACTGATTTCTGTGTTGACTGTATACAAGCCAGACTGAAGTAGAACTGCTACAGTCTGTTTTCCTTACGGGGGTTGGGGGGAGGGTAGAGGATTAGAGATCAAGGTGACTTTGGATCTGGTTAGTAATCGTGAGGTGGTGAGAAATAACCAGATTTTAGATAATGTTTCTAAACTAGAGCAGTGAGATGGCTAAGACTGGTTAAGGTTGACTCCAAGGTGATTAGAGGGTAGAATTACCACTTAGTGAACTAAGGAGCATCAAGAGTAAGAGAAGATGAAGCAAGATCTAAAATCACTTTCAATTTTGCATATGTTCAGTTTGCAACTGGAAATGTCAGTATGCAGTAAAATATATTAAATGAGTTCAGAAGAGAAGTCTAGGTAATCGTGTGTTAATTATGAATAATGGTGTTTAAACCAACAGATTTCCAAAGGGGTGGCTTAAGGACTGAGCCCTGGGCGTTGCAACAGTTAGAGACTCTTCCCACCCTTCTCACTCTGCCAGGGTGGGGCACCTCACTAAAATCTCTTTTGAGAAACATTGATCCATAGTAAAAGGGCCAGAAGAAATGCAAAGCAAGCTCTTTAGCTGAGAGAAAGGATCGAGTTGTGAAAACTCCAGGGAAGGGAAAGGCATGAGGTAGGAAGGTGGGAGCATAAATGCTTTAGGAAATGTAGGGATGTTGGGCAGTACTCAGTGCCTGTATTTGAGGCTAATGCTCTTAAATGTAAAGGGAGAGCGACTAGCGTAATTCTTTTAGTTTGTTTTCTCTTGAAAGAGGGGGATGAGGAAATGGAGACATAAAGGGCAGCTTGGAGAGATCTGCTACCCACTTCCATCGCTTAAGTGCCTGTCACACCTGGGGCCAAGCTGGCAGCCTGTATCTCAGCTGTTTCCCACATAGGAAACTGGGATTGAGTTCTTGAGCCATCATCTGCTCTCTCCCAGGATGTACACTTGCAGGAAGCTGGACTCAAAAGCAGAACTGGGGCCCTATCCCAGGCACTGCAGTGTGAAATGCCAGCATCCCAAATGACAGCCTAACCATGGCACTCAATTCCTTTTAGATGTTTGCAAACTTACTCTAGTAGATGTTAGATACATTACTTTTTTTTTTTATTGGAAAGGCAGATTTACAGGGAGAAGGAGAGACAGGAAAATCTTCCGTGTTCACTCCTCAAGTGGCTGCAACAGCTGGATAGGAGCCAGGAGTCTCGTGCCTCCTCCGGGTCTCCCACGTGGGAGGTAGAGACAAATACTTGAGCCATCATCTGCTGCCTTTCCAGTTATACTCGGAGGAAAGTGGATCCGAAGCTGAGTAGATGAGACTTAAAGCAGGCACACTGGTGCAGGTGTTCCCCGGTGTTGGTTTAACTGTAAGGTCTCCCGTGATAGTGCATGCTATCAAAGAAGTAATTAGGCTGATAGTAAGCTGACTCGAAGAAAGAGGAATAAGTGCTTGGTCAGAGGGTCTGGAAACGTGAGAGAACTATTAAATATATCCAACATTTATTGAGTGGCTACCAGGTGCTAAAAACCTAGCAACCCTGTGAGAATTGAAATTGTATTCATGTACAGAGAGCAGGTTCAGAGAGGTTGAGTTTGTTGTCCAAGGACATGCAATCAATAGGTGGGAGTCAGGATTTAAACCATGTCAGTCTGATGTCAAAGCCTCTTAACTACTTAACTGTATTGCCTGCTGTCAATTTCCTGTCCTTGTTCTTTTCAAAGGTTTATGTTTATCTATTTAATTTGTTTGAAAGGTGGGGATAGACATAGTGAGCTCCTGTTTGCTCATTCCACAGATGCCTGTAACTGCACAGGCTGAGACAGCCAAAGTCAGGAGTCGGGAAGTGAATGCCTGCCTTGCAGGATGCACAGGGCAGGAAGGAAGTTAGGAAAGAGCTGGAACTTGAACTGGTGCCCTCCAGCATCCCAAATAGTGTTTTAAATTGCTGCACTAGATGCTCTCCTCATCCTTGCTCTTTATCCCACAATCCTTTTGTTCATCCTTCTTTGGAAAGAGTCTGTCTTTCACTGATTGACTGCAGCCGTTCTAAGTTAAGCACTTGTGCCTTAGTTGATGCAATTTCTTCCTGCTTTAGCCTCTCTGACTCAGCTCTTCTGTGCACTGCCACGAAATAATTGTTTTTGTTTTGCTGCTATACAACATCATGAGCTCTTGACCTCCTAGATGAAATGGAGGCCCCAAAAGCTTCCATTTTATATGCTTCTTGCTTTAGTCTTATTTTACATTTATAGATAGGATATTAAAGGCATGGTGATTGCTTACATTTGTAGCGTGTACCATGTGTCCATTACTTGGCAGTATTAATTCCATTTCATAAATGAGGAAATTGGGGCTCAACGCGATAGCATAATGGTTAAGGTCCTCGCTTTGAATGCACTGGGGTCCCATATGGGTGCCGGTTCTAATCCCTGCAGCTCCACTTCCCATCCAGCTCCCTGCTTGTGGCCTGAGAAAAGCAGTGGTGGACCGCCCAAAGCCTTGGGACCCTGCACCCACATGGGAGACCAGGAAAGAAGTTCCTGGCTCCTGGCTTCGGATCGGCATGGCTCCAGCCGTTGCGCCCACTTGGGGAGTGAACCATTGGACAGAAGATCTTCCTCTCTGTCTCTCTTCCTCTCTCTAGAGCTGCCTTTTCAATAAAATAAATAAATCTTTTTTTAAAAAAATGAGGAAATTGAGGTTTAGTGGAGTGAATTTCCTGGGATTACGTGTCCTATTAAAACATGTTACAATGTCAGTTCTTGGCATGAACAAGTCTGGAGAGGGAGGTGGCGCACAATTAGGAAATAAGAAAAGAGACAGTCACAAGATTTAAGATTATGAAAATGTGTGGCCAGGGATTTCTCCTCTTCAGAACAGAGGAACCTGGCAAGCGCTTGCCACATCAGCTTTTTATTGAATTGCTTAGGGAATCAAATTAGAATTGATGCAGCATAAACTTTAATAGCCACACTCCGTGTTCATGTTAACCAGCTAATACTTAATCAGAAAGCAACAAAGTGACCCAAGTGCAGAAGTCAGAATATGACTAGCTAAAGAGTAAGTCTTAAAGCATACAGTTC